ACACAGAGCATGGTCGTTTCGTGGATCCCTCTAGATTTTGCAGTTATGGTTGATACAACATCTACCACATTTGGTCATCCACACTATAAAGTTTTTATCTCAGCCCACATACAAGGTAAAAGAAATATTGAGCACTAATCCACAAGCAACTGCCTTGACAAAGAAACAAAACTTGGTGTTATTACAAAGGGTCGCAGAAGGAAATGTTAATTGGAACATTGGGTTGTCTATCCAAGAAGGATGCAATCAACCTTGCTTAGCCACAGAAGGAAGACAGGGCATGGTTCTAGCAGGCTTATATGGATCAACACCATACATCACAGTACGAGTCCTAAGGCAACTAGGCTTCTTACAATTCATTCCAACCGTCGATGACATTAAAGGGGACATGGTTGATTTTATTAAGTATTGTGGGAACATGGAAAGAAGGTTCAAAGAGCACTGGGCTTCCAGTAAAAGGGAATCCTCTATCCTGTTGCCAACCTCCAAGCCGATGTGTGATCATACATACAAGGATTGGGTGTGCAGTCAAGGTTTCCCGTCACCCCTAACACCACCACCTGAGCTCCCCACCCTAATAAGGCCTCCCTCCAAAGGTACCATATCAAAGGAATCTTTCAAGCGCCCTTTAGATGATCCATACTTGAAAGCAGAACTAGAATTTTACGAGCAGAACAGGATAAATGAGGAACAAGAAGTAAGCATCGGGAGGCACAATGATTCTATAAGAAAATAGATAAAAGAACACATCAAGCAAAAACGGAAAATGGAAATAGAAGAGTTAGACTTAAGGAAGGAAATGATGGAATTAAAAGAGAGATTGGAAAGTCAAAGGAAAAAGTTGAGTAAAGCCCAAGCAAGTCATTTTAAAACAATGGAGAAATTATCAAAGGCACTTCAAGAGAAGCAAAGGTTGGATATCGAAACCAAGGAAACTCGCTGCCAGCTCCATCAAGCTAGGAATGAGGCTACTAGTGCCAACATCAAATATGAAGAGTTAGTCAACCGCATGGAAGCATACACAATGCGAGTGGCAAATCGAATGACGATACTCGAAAGCACTTTGACTTACTATGGCATTGGCATTCCTCCCAACTGATCAACATTGTTGTATCTCCTTTTCGTTTTGGAAAAAATGGATGTAATGAACATTAATGAAGGAGCTATTTTTTGTTTTGTGCCATTATTGTCTCACTCAAATATTAACAAAATCGTCGAATTCATCAAATCAACTCATCAAATATCAAATTTGGCAAATTAACTCATCAAATAACAAAGATCAGAATCAAAGCATCGAAATTTGGCAAACTAACTCATCAAATAACAAATAGCATAATCAAAGCATCAAATCAACTCATAAAATAGCAAAAAGTAAAATCAAAGCTAAGTTGTCAAATCAACTCATCCAATCAAATCATCAAAAATCGAGATCAAATTTACCAAATTCTTCAAGCCAATTCATCGAAAATAAAAAATCAAAGAATAAAAAAAACCAAAATTAAGTTTACAATGTTCATCAAATCAACCCATAAAATAGAATCAAAATCCCAAAAAAAAAATCATCAAAATCGAAATAAAGAATCCAAAAAGAAAGAAAATCAAGGATAAAGAATAAAAAACAAAAGAGAGTCAAATTAATCTCATCAAATGTTGAAAATCAATTTCTTTATCTTCTCTCTTGCAACCAGTGAATACTTTTTTACCTACTAAAGGCAGCAAGACACGACTAATGTGGAGACCGCTATAGCCTCTACTGTTTCATATAGCGGATTTCTCCATCTTTAAGAAAGGCTTTCAGAAATGTCTGCTCGGGTGGATTCACTCTCAGAAATAAATTCTACCAACCCCCAAGCCACCGCCCAGGCTTAAACCTTTGCCATCCCCACCACTATTGGGATTCCTACCCCGTTCCATTCACTGCAGGTACCACGTCGCCAACCCCAAGTCCACAACCTACCATTTTCACCAAGCAACCCACAACTCCAATAGTTAACCAAGTCAATGGCTTTGAAGAAGAAGACCCTCGTGTCTCCCAGTCTATTCTCCCAAACAAGCCAGCCTCAATTGCGAGCGATCCTATGAAGGAGGAAATGGAGAAAATGAAGGAAGAAATCCATAAGCTAAAAGGTGTTCATAACCTGGGAACTACAAACTTTAAAGAATTGTGCTTATACTCTGATGCAGTACTCCTAGAAAAGTTTAAATTGCCTGAATTGGAAAAAGATGCCCACAAACCCACTTTAAAATCTTCTATGGAGATATGTTCCAATACGGATCAGATGAGAGGCTCCTTGTCCAGGTGTTCCAAAAGAGTTTGACAAGAGATGTACGAACCTGGTTCGTCATGTTGGACCCTACGAAGAAGAAGTCCTGGAAGCAAGTTTCTGAAGCCTTTTTTGATCATTACTCCTTTAACTTGGAACTAGTTCCCGACTGAGCCGATTTAGAGGCATTGTCACAAAAGGAAGGAGAAAATTTTCTTGAGTATGCATACCGGTGGAGGGAAGTTTCATGTGCCTACTGATGGGGGAAGTTTCATTTTATGCATGTGCCTACTGATGGGGGAAAAGGAAGGAGAAAATTTAGAGGCCTTGATTTATGCATGTGCGTACTGATGGGGGAAGTTTCATTTTAGCGCTTCCCTCAACGAGTAGGCATTCACTGTTTTGCTGATGTGGTGCCTAATGGTGTCTAAGTGCCAATAAACTGGTTCATTATTATTTTTATAGGTTTTGTAAACAAATCAAGTATAAACATTTAGTGAATAAACGCCCACGGTTCCAAATGCATATGTTATGTTTTTGCTTGCCGACGATAAAAAAATGGTTTGGTCGACCATAGTTGAAGAGGCAAGATGATGGAATTGAAAGGAGAATAAATCAACAAAGCATTATGAAAATGGTGCAAAAATAAAAGCAAAATGCTAGAGGATGTTGGATCTATACTTACCATCACAAGAAACAGTTGGAAATTGATGTAACCGTTTCTTGTCACGTACCAATTTTTTGTGATGTATCAATTTTTTTTTTTGGCTAAGTGCCTCGCCATTTGACTTGCTCCCAGGAGAGGATAGTGGAGCTCCTTGCGTGGTGAGCTACTTGGTGACGAGCTCCATGGTGGTGAGCTACCTGGTGACGAGCTCCCTGGTGGTGAGCTACCTGGGTGGACTCGTCATTTGACCTACTCCTAGGCGGCCTGTAACTCAGGGGATGGTGGAGCTCCCTGGTGTAGCACAACCCAACTGCCCTCTGTATGAGGAACCTGCGAGAACTCCATCTTTTCCTCCTCTTTGTAGGCGGCGGGAGGTGAGGAACCTACGAGAACTGAATCAGAGGACCTGGGGGTATTTTCCTGGCAGGGACTCTCCGATGCCTAAGTTAGCATTCTATTGTAGGGAGCTTGGAGAGAAATGAGAGAGCTATAGAGCAGGGATTACCTCCATTTTTTCATTCTCCCCCTTGTCTTTGGGGGTTAGAGTCCTTATATAGTGGTGTCCTGTTAAATTAGGCGTAACCGCCTCTGTCTCTCTATCGCAGCCGTTACTGCCAGAGCTGAGTGGCGGGTGCAGGCGGCTGCTACAGAGTACGGCTCTGCCAGTCAAGGGACAACTCTCAGGACCGGCAGGCACGACGCCACCTAGTGAGAGACGTGGACGCAGGTCTCCGGATCTGTCAGGTACGGTTGTCAGTCAGGAAATCTTCCTACGATACGCCGAGCTACTCCTAAGTGTCGAGCTACTTGTAAGTGCCGAGCTACCCCTAAGTGGCGAGCTCTTCGTAAGACGCCAGGCTGCCTGCGGAGTGGCCAGTTGCCTGTGGCCAGCTGCCTATGCCGAGCTGCCCCTAGCTATACCAAGCTCCCCGAGCTATGCCGAGCTGCTTGTGGCGAGCTCTGCCGAGCTGCCTATGGCGAGCCATGCCGAGCTGTCTTTAAGTGGCAAGCTCTGCCGAGCTACCCGAGCTTCCCGAGCTGCCTAGTTGTCAAGAAACTGCACTTGGTTTGCATAAGGTGTCAGGTGTCACAATTTCACTAGAGGGCCAAATCCGCCCTCATCAGAAATGTTGCTGGAGAATATCGTTGGAGGATGTGTAGGCGGAGGGTGAAGACCCGAGTTTGGTGTTACGATAGCCTTGATAAAATTTTCAAGCTTAACCCACTATTTTATTTTCTCAGTGAGGTTTTTACTATTTTGGATTGACCTCGTGTTCTCGCTTTTCAAATCCCGCATCCCTCTCCTTTCTATTTCAAATATAATGTTTCTTGCAAATACACACTAAAAAGTGGAATATTCCACCAATATGCTTCCTTTACCTTCCCTTTCGTGGCAACCAAAGATACCATAAAGCTTAAACCTTAAACCTTAAATCTAAATTTTAAACACTTATGCTCTAAAGCCTAAACCCTTAAACTCTAATCCTAAATCTTAAATTTATTGTATTAAATATTTTTTGTAAGATTAGGGGTGAGCATTCGGTTTATTTAGTTAAAAATTGAATCGAATAAACCAAAATTTTAAAAACAAAATTAAAAAAATAAAAACCAAAATTTTTGGTTTGGTTTTTGGTTATTTCGATTAAAACCAAATTTTAATAATATATACTTTATTATATATATTATAATATATATTATATATTATAAAATATATATTATGAATTCGAATTTTAGTATATTATATATTAATATATAAATATATAAATATATAATATATTATATATTAATATATAAATATATAAATATATAATATATTATATATTATATATAATAATAAAAAGTTCAGTTAATTCGACTAACTGAAATTCTAATTCCAAAAACCGAAATAACCGAACCGATTTAACCAAAAATCAACAAAAATCGAAGCCGAAATAGGTGGACTTTAACTCCTTTCAAGTTCCAAGGTTCTAAATAAAATCATGAAACTTATTTAACGTCTAACAAATGTCGATATGTCCGAGTGGTTAAGGAGACAGACTTGAAATCTGTTGGGCTCTGCCCGCGCAGGTTCGAACCCTGCTGTCGACGCTCTGATTCTTCTTCCTTTTCCCCTTTTTTTTTCACTTTTGAGTTAACTCTAATCCTCGCTGCCTGAAATTGAAATTGGAGAGATCCATGGACCGTAGTAACTAACACCAGGCGGCCACTAGCCCACAACTATTGTTTTGTGGGGTTGCTGCTGGAATTGTTGGTTGCCGGCGGCATGGATCCGAGGGTAGAGAGCTTTGTGATGGTGCACAACATAGCTAAGAGGCACAACGTGGGGACGCTGGCTCGAAGTGCGACGGCATTCGGGGTTTCGGAGCTCATTCTCGTGGGCAGGAGAGACTTCAATGCTTTCGGCAGTCATGGCTCCACCTCTCATCTTCGCTTCCGACATTTCCACTCCCTGCACGACGCTCGCCTCTACCTCAAGGTCCGGTACGTCATCCATCTCCTTCGTTAGTACTTCAGTTTAGACGCCTAGCAGCTAGAACTAAGTTCACTCAGAAAGCTTTGGTGTGATGTTGCAGGAGAGAGATTGCGATATCTGTGGTGTTGAGATTACTGATGGGGCGGTTGCTGTAAATCAACATCCATTTCGGAAGAGTACCGCTTTCCTTCTCGGTAACGAGGTACCGAGTCTCATCCCCACTTCAGTTTTCTTTTTTTTTTTTTTCTTCTGTGGGTAACCCCAATTATAATTGGTCTAAGCGATTTAGGGTTTGGATAATAGATTTAGGGAAAAAAAGAGAGAGAAATTGAGAAGAGAGAAACAGAACGACGATTATTAGATAAATTCCTTAGTTAACTTTGTAGCCTTCAGAATCGGTCTTGAGCTATACGGTTTGAGGAATATATGCTGTTATAGTGGCTGCTTATACTCCTACTGCTTTTCTTTTTTTTTTTTTCGTTTGTTATCGTGGAATTTACCATTTGCTTTTCGTATTCGGATTGACATCAGGACCAATCTGGAAATTAAGAAGCACTAATCTTAAAAGTTTGGCATGAAACTAAAGCCTTGCCATTTGTTTTTCATAATTTGAATGAGATTTGGAATAATTTGAGCACTATTAAGTATTTGATTTAACAGTTTGGCATGTAACTAAAGCTGTTGCTGAAAATCTTAGAAATATATAGTTCTATTTCCTTATGGGTTGGATGAAAGTGGTTGGGTAGTGGTCCACGTCCACCCATGTTGACCTATGGATGCAGTCTGTGGAAAGGAATATGCAGAGCTTCAAACCTTTTCTGTCTTCAAAGTAGGCAATGGGAGAAGGATCAGGTTCTGATTGGATCCTTGGACTGGGGAGAATTCCCTTAGTCTGTGTTTGGTTCGAAGGAAAAGGTAGGAAAAGGAAGAGGTAGGGAAAACCTTTACAAATCTTGTATAGGTTTCTTTGTCTTTCCCTTCCTTTCACTACTTTTTCCTTCAAACCAAACATAGCCTTAAGGAACTGTTTCCCACCCTGTTCAGCTTGGCAGAAGATAAAGAAGCCTTGGTAGCGGATACATTTGTGATAAGGGATAATGCTATATGCTGGGCTCCAGCCTTTAGAAGGGACTTCAATGACCGGGAGATTCAGCAGGTGGGAAATGTCCTAGTTTTGCTTCAGTCAGGTTTTGAATCTGCAACCCGAGGATTCCCTATTGTGGAAATGGAACAGAAGTGGGGAGTTTTCAGTTAAATCCTTCTACAGTGCCATAAGGGGAGGTTTTGAAGCCCTCTTCCCAAGCCGGGCCATTTGGAGATGTTGGTGAGAAAAGGTTTTAACTGCAGTGACCTAAGGTGTAACTTCTGTTTTGTGGATACAGAATAAGTCAACCATCTGTTTTTACATTGCAACTTTTGCCTCAAAGATCTGGAGCCACTTCTTAAGTAGTCTGAGGTTAAGCTGGTATATGCCAGCCTCAGTTAAAGCCTGCCTGGAGGCTTGGCAGATCTGAGGGATGACTAAGAAAGGAAAGATTTTCTGGTCTTCTATTCCCTTAGCAATTATGTGGACAGTTTGGAGTCTTTGGACAGAAGGGAACAGCAGGGTCTTTGATCTTAAGATCTCTACTGAAGCTGAAGTCATCAATACGGCTTTAGGTTGTGTTAGTAGTTGGTTGTCTATACTAACTGACTTTGAAGAGGTTACTTCTGATTGTAATTTTTTGAGGATGACCTTTTTTTTTGAGGTCCTTCTGATTTGGTGTGTACAGCTTCTCTTTGTACAAAGGACCTTTTACATCAATACAATTATACTTTACCTTTGCTCAAAAAAGAAAAAAAAAGCATTTCCTTGTATCTTAGTGGAGTAAGGAAATTGAAAGTTGGAATGTTCTGTATGTACTTGGCGCTCTTTTCTCTCTCTCTCTCTCTCTCTCTCAATCATCAAAATTTACATGGTTCTCATTGATAATGTTGTTGTATTGTTAGGGGACTGGTCTTTCAACTAAGGAATGTGAGATATGTGACTTCTTTGTTTACATTCCACAATATGGGTCTGGCACTGCATCATTGAATGTCACTATAGCAGCTTCAATCGTTCTGCACCATTTTGGAGGTAATTTCAAGACACTTTCTGTAATTTTAATTCAATGTAGATGATGGGAACTTTTGATCGAGTTTCCTATATATATCTTGATTATGCTTTTTTCTATACTTTTGGATAGTGGACTTTGTATCAAAGTAGGTTTTGATGACTACTTGCAGGATGCTGTTTGACCTTTGTCAGATGCATCAATTATTACCTTTTGTACATAGTGGACTTTTTCTTGCATGGTTAAACAAAATTGCAAAGTAGTATGTTGTAAAGACCCTTATGGTAACAACTTTAAAGATAATGATTTTTTAAATTAAATTAAGCATAGTTATGGACAAGATTAATACATTTCTTGGAAGACCTATAATTGACAGTATGTTGCCATTTCATTGGATAGATGAGCTTACCTGGGTCTTGGATATCAGAAGTTGCATGTGATATCCATATCCATGCTGGTATGCTACTCTATTTTCCTTTTCATGATAACAAAACCAACACCTAAAAGTTCTGTGGTAAGTGAAAGCCAGTCAGATTGCTACTCCTTAAACCCTTTTGGTGCTGCCACTGGAAAAGTTGGATTAAGTTTGAGCTTCAGTTGCTTTCAACTTGCATGGTTAGACAGTCAGATCATTTAGCGAAGAAGTCTAAGCCTGAGAATCTTCCAGTGGGAACTTTATTTGGAGGCGGAAACTCAAGTCTCTCTCCCTACCCTCCATTCGGGAATAAATTTAGCTTTAAAAAGACTTTGATGCGTGCTCAATATAAATTCTCTTTATGGGAATGTTTTAATTTTTAAATTAAAGCAAATGAAAGTAAATAGTAATACAAGGTTGGTTATAGACTGACATGAACTGCAGCTGTTAACACATGGCCAGTGGGTCCCCTACCTAAAGTATAGAGTCTGGGTTTGCCACATGATTCTGCTTGTGGCAGAAATATGTGGGATTGTTAAGGGAATTGCCTTACTTGACCCACGGAGTTATTTTTTCGAGATAGTTGAAGCAAAGTAGGACCAACTGAGAGAATTTGTCAAGATGTATGTTCTTTTGTCTTTGTTTGAGTTTTAGTCTTCAAAGAGTTTAAAGACATGTAAAGATCTGATATTATAGGACTGTGGGAGGAGATTGTGAGACATTAAATGCATTCTTTTGTGTGATATATTTAGAGGGGATTGGTGGTTTTTCATTTTATGTTTGTATCAAATGTAAAACTCTGGTGTGAGAAGTGCACATGTAGGAAGCCTACAAGGTGGATCTCTTCAGCCATTTTGATCATCATCATTAAGTCTTGTCCCAACTGCTATGCCATCTTGATCCAATTAGGAATATACATGGATCTATATTGTGTTTTCTTTTCTTTTTTTGTGTGTGTGTTGGGGGGGGGGGTGGCCTATGGGACTAATTCTTCTAAAGGCTGAAGTGTTTTTTCCCTGTTTTATCATTATGTATTTATGTTTAATAACTTAGCAAATGTTGGCATAAAACTGCTTAAGAGCTTAGGGGTAGTACATCAACTCTTTCATGTGATCAAGCTTTAAAGTTGCATTTCTGTTTTTTGTTTCTTATTCTTCCTTTTTTCTTCTCACAACATAAAACCAACAACCCAATGATATCCATGTCCAAGCCTGAATTTAAAGCAAATCAACAGTTATGCTGGTTCAAACATTTGTTCCATTATGTTCTTTTGAAATTTAAGTTAAAACTTTTTATTTTAATTGATTAGTGGGGTTTGCCTTAATTCTACTCATTATAAATTGAGGATTCAGTTCTCTAGCTGTCCAACTGCAATATTTTCTTTGTTTTCTTGTTTTTAGCAATATCTCTTAGATTAAATGTAAGAGAAATAAGCTCTTGTCTTGTTTTGTTCATTTGTGGGTTGCAATCATTAGCAGATCTTGTTCATTTTCACAGTGCAACTGTTCTTACATTTTCTTTTTTAATCATCTGTCATTAATTTTCCAGAATCAGGAGAGCAATATAAAGGGAAGGATTTTTTCTTTGTCAATTTTTGTGCATGTGTTTCTTTTAATATCTAATCAAATGAGTGCTGATCAAGAAAAGTTATTTTAAATGAGTGATATAATGCTACCTTCTGTGCTTGGAATCATCATGGACTAAACCATCTAGGTACAATGTTAAGTTTTAGTAAGTTGATCCCCTAGTCCAAGTGCATGGCCTTTCTCATTTTCTTTCATCTTTTTTTTTCAGTCTGGGCAGGCTTCCCTGAAAGAACTCGTGATGGAAACAAGTTTGTGGTGGCTGAGAAACCCGCGAAACAGGTTAGACGAAACTACTGTGCAGATACAGCTGAGTCAGTTATTGAGGAGCGAAAAATTAGGAAAGAAAATGCTTCTCATAATTTCTTTGATATGAATGGAAGTGATGATTCCTCATCAATGCTGGATACATTGTTTGGTGGTTAGATATAGAATTAGAAGGGCACAAGTGACATTTTTTCTGACTCAAAATTTGAAGGAGGCCTTTGACATATGACATTATCAAGCATTGGGGTTCCATATTTAATTTCCTATCAAAGAGGGATATGACTGCCTATGAGCCAGCAGTGATGCTGGAAAAAAAAGGGTGTTGTTTTCAATCCATGGTCTGAGAGAATCACCTTGGTTACCATGTGGAATCCTGGACCTTAAAGGTTTCATCATGGTGATTGTTGTGATCACAACCGTCTGTATGAAATTTTCTGTTCCATATAAAAATTATGACGTGGAGGTTTGATCAGACCATATTTCATGTTAAAAACAAAAAACCGGTGTCACTGGCAAGGTCTGACTTAGTAGCCAGTGGCTGGAAACAGCATACTTGATTTCCAATTCCACAATGTCAAATTTATTAAGTTGTGACTTAAGTTTTTTGGTAATCAAGTCATGACTTGATACAATAGCAATTCTGTTTTGAAAACAAGTTATCTGTTATTCTGTAACTTTACTGTTATAGACTATTAATATGTGATAATTATGCAGGTGATCAATGGCTGTCATATCTTTCAAAAAAAGGCTGTTATAGAGTATAGACCATTGATTCTATCATTTATGGTGCCTGCTGTGTTCTGTTATCAATGGTGAAGTTTGGTATCATTGCTATTTCTACCTGAAAGGCTGAAACGTTTTAACTAATTAGGTTCATCAATACAAATTGAAATTGGTGAGAGAGATGTGTGAAGTGTTGTTACATCACCTTGGTTAGAATTATTAGACTTTAGACCCCAGAACAAGAACATCAATTTAACCTAGCTTGGACTGAGGCTGCTTCAGTTTTAATTGCTGAAACCATGCTATTAATTAATCACTTCTGAAAATATATCATTGCAAGGTCAAAAAAAAAATTGTAGAAACAACTATAGTAAACATAATGAGGGTTAACAATGGATTGGATCTGGTCATGGTCAGGGTAGACTCTGAACTGATCCCACAAGGCCATGATCAATAAGACACCATACAAAATAAACCTGATGGCCAATCCCAACTCAGACCCCTTCAGGATTAGTGTCTGTAACTCAGCTCTTAAGTAATAGACCCAGAAATTACCTTAGCTATAAATCGGGTATTCAGGTTCATCGAGTCAGACCAGATGGGGGCCAATTACGGATAACAGATGCTTATCTTGATGTGTTTGGTATATCTTCTGTTTATTAAATAAACGCTTATACTTGATTTGTCTTCAAAACCAAGAAAAGTAGATAAATCGTTTATTGGCAATTACGCGCCACATCAGCGGAACAATGAATAAACAGATGACAGATGCTTATCTCGATGTGTTTGGTATAGCTTATGTTTATTAAATAAATGTTTGTACTTGATTTGTCTTCAAAACTGAGAGAAGTATTTGATAAATCTTTTATTGACAATTAGGTGTCATATCAGCGGAATAATGAAAAAACGTTTAATCGTTGGGAAAAGTGTTAAAATAAAACTTTCTCTATGATTGATGTATACATAAATCAAAATCCACATTTGTGAATATAAATGCATACGGATGAACATGATGAGAAAAATGCTGATTTAGTGATAATATATCAACATTTTGATAAACACCTATTATGAAATGTCTACAAAATAAAACACATGCTTTTTTAATTTGACATTGAACAATTCAATTCTCTTGCTCTATTTTCTTTCAAAAATCTTCTGTAATTTCATAGAGTAACAATTTTAGGCATCTTATGTGAAGTTATTGGAAGTGAACTATGAAAAACATGTATAAAAAATTTTAAATGTCGTGAATATTTTTATCATGTGTTAATAGTTAATACACATTAAGGAATAAGGACTTATCTCCTTTTTCCCATTAAACATGTAGTGTTTATAAGGGCATTTTAACCGTAAAAAAAAAAGATATAAGTCTCCATCTCTACCATAATTGATTAGGACTCAAAAATACTAAAAATGTATACCGAAGGGCTGTGTCGGGTTAAACCAGACCATTGACAGCCCTATTTTTGAATTTTTGACATTAAGGGTCCGTTTGGTTTGCATGAATAGGGGTTTGGAATTGGAATCGACCATCCCGATTCCAATTGTTTGATTGAGCAGAATCAGAATCACATTCCCATTCCTAGTGTAATGGCATTCTCCCATTTGAGGAAATGGTCATTCTCTCCCCCTTCCTCGGGAATGAAATCCTATTTCAGCTGATTTCAATTCCCATTCCTATTCTTGTTTGCACCAAACAAATTATGGGAATAGACCAATCTAATTCAAATCCTGATAGATTTTGATTCCAATTCTGATTGCAAATCAAAAGGGACCCTAAGTAGTGTCTATACTCTTTTACCCTTTCATTTTGAACATCCATAACATTTTTCTATGGCCAAAGGGTGTTAAATTAAATTTTGCAATTTCCCTAAAAGGAAAATTTCTGATCAGTCCCCAAATTTCAAAACGTGTTTATGCAGTATCCCGAACTTTCAGAATGTGTCTAATAGGTCCCTGCCATTAACAATCTGTCAGTTAATTTTGGAAATGTCAAAACTACCTATAAGGTGTCATCTAATTTTCTTTATCTACCACTTACACAAACCAATTTAAACAAAATTCCTTCCGTTTAAATCTTGATTCTAGTAATTGATGCTGTCGTTCCACCTTGATTGCAAGCAATCTTGCTTTCTGGCTTGTGGAGTGATAGATTACTAGTTAATGACGATGAATCTATGGTTAATGAAGTCAAACCCAAACACAAATAAATTCTGAAATAAGCAAAGAAAAAACTAAGTTATACCATTGTGATGCAACATTAACAATCAACAAAACCTTTCCCTTGTAAATGCTAAGATCAACATGATTTCCCCTTGCATCCTAGTTGAGATAAGAAGGTTGCAGCAATTATCCAAGATATACAGGAAATTTTCATGAACTACATAAAATTAAAAGAAATTAAAGAATATACAGGACTGTGGCAATGGCTGTTTCAACCATCACCAGAAACTTGGTCAGTTCCCAACACCATCGTTGGTTTGTTCAAATCTATTCTTGCCATCATCATCAGTCCCTGACATTATCATAGCAATGGTGCAGATCTTCAGTCTCAAGGTAGAAGACAATGAACAGTGTTTTCTTTCAAGGGTAGTTTGATATTTTAAAAGTTTTGAAAATTTGGGGGTACTTCAGACATGTTATGAAGTTCAGGGATTGACTTTACACAACCCCTAAAGTTCAGGGTACTGATAAAGGAATTGTTCCTTAACTAAATACATGAATGGAAAATGAATATTAATTTGACAAGAATAACTTTGTCATAGATGTAAAAGTCAGTGTTTTCAACCATAGTTGACCCGGATGGTTGGACCATTTGACTTAGGAACTATTCAGGTAATTGATTCTGTTTCACCGTTTACCCATTATTTGGCCAAAAACCGTTGACTTGGTCAACGACCTATTGACCTGTGTGATTGAACCATCAACCCGTTTAACCTAAACAATGGTTTTAGCCGTTCTTTATTTTAACTATTTATTTAATTTAGAATGAGCTGTCTATTCGAACCGCTGACCCAGAAACTGGTGGCCAAAATAATTGCGATGAGCTAAACAACGGTTTGGGTCGTTATTTATTTAATTTAGAATGAGCCGTCCATTCGAACCGTTGACGGGGAAACTGGTGGCCAAAAGGGTTCCGGTTCCCGGTCGATTTTTAAAACATTGGTAAGAGTAATTAAGTCAATTAGAATTTACATAAGTACACTGAAGGTAGGCCCACTATCACATTACCAAAGACTGGAGAGAACAGCAGGTTGTGGAGTGAGAACCAGAACTAGCGATGACGATGAGAGCTTGGACGGATCAGACAATGTGAGCTGCGCCACTTGCTTGCATCTTCATGCAGTCCTTCGTTTTGATTCGATTCAAAAACGGAATGTAGACCAGGCCTCCCTTCCACGTAAACTCTCAACTTACTACAACAAAATACATTCCCTCTCCCCTCATTTTCTCTCTCACATAAATTCGTATGGATTGAACTGAAAGATCTGTTACTCTGTTAGTGTTAGTGAATCTTATTGTACATGTCATCATTGTTCTTTCTCTGGTTCCCAACTGGTTTTCTAGTCCATCAATATTGAGTTTTATCTTTTATCATAATCATACCAAGGTAAATAGATAGAGACGAATTGGGTGGTTAATTTGTGAGTTGAGTACACAGGATGGATCAGAGACATGTCCTTTGTCTGGGTTCACTGGTATTACTGCTGACTGCATTACCCATCGATTGCTTCCATCTCCCTGGTAGCCACCCACATCGGTATGCCGGTGGAGAATCTCTCTGGGTGAAGGTGAATTCTATTACATCAATTGAGACAGAGATGCCTTTTGGTTACTACACCCTTCCCTTCTGCAGGCCAATGGGTGGCATCAAGAACAGCAGAGAAAATCTTGGTGAGATTCTGATGGGCGACAGGATTGAAAGCTCTCCTTACCGGTTCAGGACCCATGTGAATGAGACGGATATCTTTCTCTGCTCCACGGGCCCATTAACAGCAGAACAGGTGAAGTTGATGAAGCTTCGTATTGATCAACTGTACCAGGTGAATCTCATTCTTGATCATCTCCCGGCTATACGATACACAGAAAAGAATGGGTTCAATCTCCGGTGGACTGGGTATCCAATTGGTCTCAATTTTCACAATGCCCATTATGTCTTCAACCATCTCAAGTTCAAGATTTTGGTGCACAGGTACAATGAATCTGCACTAACCCCTGGTGTGGTGGGGTCGACAGGAGATGCAATTGATCATATCCCTGGCTCAAAAAAGACCAAGAATAGTCCTCCTGAATATATGGTGGTCGGTTTTGAAGTTGTCCCCTGCAGCTACCAACACAATGTGGAGCACCCCAACAAGCTCAAGATGTATAACAAGTTCTCTTCAGCAATCATCTGTGATCCCTTGTCTCTTGCCAAGACAGTGAAGGAAGGAGAGCCCATTGTGTTCTCTTATGAGGTTTCCTTTGAGGAGAGCAACATACAGTGGCTATCAAGATGGGAGGATCAATGATGCACTTGTTCTCCATTCTGAATTCTCTGATGGTTGTGGCTTTACTTGCCGGGATCGTTCTAGTCATCTTCCTGAAGACAGTCCGCCGCGATCTGTCACAGTATGAGGAGATTGATAGGGAAGCTCAGGCTGATATAAATGTGGAACTATCTGGTTGGAAACTTGTTGTTGGGGATGTCTTTCTTGCTCCTTCAAATACTGATCTCTTGTGTGTATTTGTAGGAGATGGTGTTCAGATACTTGGAATGGGGGTTGTCACCATCCTCTTTGCTGCATTTGGTTTCATGTCGCTGGCATCCCATGGGACCCTTATCACTGGAATGCTGTCCTTCTACCTGTTTCTTGGGTTTGCGGCAGGCTATGTCAGTGTTAGGATCTGGAGAGCTGTGAATGGAGGCTACAAAGGATGGGTCTCAATCTCATGGCGTGTGGCCTGTTTCTTCCCAGGAATTTCATTCCTAATCCTTACTTCCCTGAATTTCCTCTTATGGGGAAGCCACAGCACTGGAGCAATCCCTGTTTATCACTTCATCATTCTGATCCTACTCTAGCTTTTTATCTCAGTCCCACTGATTTTGGTTGGTGGCTACTTAGGGGTTAAAGCAAAGGCAATCGAATACCCTGTTCATGTTAATCACATTATGCGTGAGATTCCACCAAAGAGGTACCCTTCATGGCTGTTAGTCATTGGAGCAGGTACACTGCCTTTTGGGACCCTCTTCATCAAGTTCTACTTCATTATGTCCAGACTATGGCTAGGACAGGTCTACTATGTGTTCGGCTTCCTTCTTGTGGTGTTGATTCTTTTGGTAACAGTCTGTGCTGAGGTCTCTCTTGTCCTAGCTTATATGCTTCTTTGCATGGAAGATTGGAAATGGTGGTGGCAATCATTCTTTTCCTCCGGCTCGGTTGCAATTTACATATTACTCTATTCCATCAACTACCTTATATTTGATCTCCATGGCCTAAGTGGGCTAGTTTCTGCTACTCTATATCTTGGTTATTCTCTTCTCATGGTTATTGTTATTATGCTTGCCAGTGGAACTGTGGGATTTCTTTCCTCCTTTTGGTTCATTTTCTATCTGTTCTCTTCTGTCAAGCTTGATTGAACTGAGATAACCGAGTAAACTGAAGCACACTTCCCTTTTACTTGCTGTAAAACTGCTGCTTTTCACTTTTTGCATTTAGATGTAGAATGTCAAGAATAGTATTTTCTTCAGTTCCTTTTCCCTTCTATCCACTAGATGTCCTATTTTATTAATCAAAGAAGATTCTGATGGTGTACCATTCACAATTATTAGTACACACCAACACAATGAATCACTTGTCTTGCCTTTGCCTCCAAGCACTGCAAGCAATAGATTTTACAGGTAAATTCCTTCTACAAAGAATTCAACTGAAAAGAAACATTTTCTTTCAATGGAAAACAGATACCAAAACTAATACTTTTTAAGAAAGTAAAATAACTCGTTTGTCTGTACCAAATGCCTCTTGGGTCTTACATTGAAGTTGATATCCTCATACAAACTGACAACTTATCTTTATTTTCATATTTCCTTTGTTTGCAATAAACACTAGTATGCAAAACATGATAACTGCTGTATTATTGCCGTTAGAAGTGCATTATAACTTGATCAAAACTTGATTTTCAGTTCTTACTTTGAAAGAGAACAGAAGAATTCTGCCTAGTATGGTCATTTTTTGGGACGTGGGGTGCAAGACATTAATCACATTTTGTTAGTTTGCTTGTGTATTTGTGTGTGTGGGGGGGGGGAGGGRGGAGGGGGGAGGTCCATCTTCAGAATTCAGAGTTGACTCTAGTGAAGGTGAGGTGAAAGTGTTGTGGTATAAAGAGTGGGGAAGTGTTGTGACATTATAACATGATCACAATTTGATTTTCAGTACTTTGAAAGTAACAGAAGAATTCTGCCTAGTATGGTCTGTCATTTTTTGGGATGGAGGAGCAAGACATTACAGTTTGCTTGTTTGTGTCATTCTGTGTGTGGGGGGGTAGGGGTGGGGGTCATCTTCAGAGTTCAGAGTTGTCTATAGTGAAGGTGAGGTGAAAATGCTGTTGCTTAAAGGATAGGAAAGTGGATATCGTTTCAGTTTATCTACTTGCAGATAGGCTTCTTAGAAGTTGGAACCCTCTGTAAGTTACAGTTAGGGAACTTGAAGCCATGATTGTAATTTAATATGATTAGATGCTATTGCTAGCACCAGAACAATTAAACACGTTCCTCTACATTTATAAAAGATAATTGATCCTTCTAAAGTAGATGCTTTGAGAATTTGCTAAGTTCATGAGTTTGAAATAATAAAGCCAAATAATCTCTCAACTACCATGGACTGTGGTGGACCTAATAATCCTTCTGTGCTGGTATTTTGAACTTTGAATTCCGTTTGGCCATAAATATTTTAGATAGTTTACCAGAAAAGAACCTTTTAGATGGTTAATTGTTTAAATCGTGTTTTCCCCCTTGTCTCTCCAACAAAGAAGTATAAGAAGCTATATTCCCAAATGTGCTTGGACTCGGCAAACTATCCTATTCAGAGGGAATATTGACTTGAATTGTGGAAGCTTTATTTTTCCCCACCATCAGTCATGTCCATCCCTTGATTCGTTTAGGTTGTTCAATCATTTTATCTTTTGGTGCTTGTACATTGATTAAGTCCAGATTGGCTAAGCATAGTCTGCAGAAAATGCAGAGGAAAATTTTGAGTGGTAGAGACAGAATAACATGCCAAAATTACCAGGTTTTCCAAAACTTCATCAATGTAAAGGTTGGGTGGATGCTTGAACATTTAATTTCCAATTTCAGATACATAGCAGAGACAGCTATACAGCTACCCATGTGGAGTAGTGTTCATTCATTACATACCTACTTCCCTTATCCCCACCCAATAATGGAGATTCCTCTGAACCCCCACCATCCACAATTTGTGATTTGCAGGAAATCCATTCCTTCTGTTGACCCCAATTGTGAACTGTGTTTGTATGTCAGTTTTATTGTCTACAGTGTCACTCAGATATCCTCTCCAAAATATTTCAGAACTGTAATGGATTGCTGACCCCATATGGTATTGATGGGAAGAAACCCCAATCCCAACACAGACAAGCATCTGGATGAGCTAACAGGACAGGAAAGCTGACCATTTTGCTGAGATCTCAATGGCCCCAAAAAAGCCTTCAGTTCTAACTTTTTGTGGTAAAGCAAATTTGTCCAGCTCGACCCGCATCCAGTTGAAGCATAAAGAGATCAACACCCGACACAATTATACACAGCGAAGAAGACACTAAAGGCATAAAGTAGTACAATATTCGTCAACCATCTTGACGTTGCCCTGTTATACCTTTATCCTTCTGATATAAAACGTGATGAGAGTAGAATTGACAATCAAGACAACAGCCAAGGTGGGCTCTGAAGTCTCTCAACTGCAATTCTAGCTCCAGCCATGCCCATGAAACGCGTTCAGAGAAATGATAAAATAACAAAGGGGAATCTTGTGAAGCCCAGTAAACCATCAATGCTTTGACTTTAATCCATAAATTAACCAAGTCTAAAGATGGGTTTTCATTTTCCAACACCTTCCTGGTCCCTTCACTTTTCTTTTAACAAAAGTTGTTTTGGGGATTAGTTACAAAGTAAAAGGAGTGCTGGATACTCATAAAAATTTGAGCTTTAAGGTTTAGACTTGATGGCAAGTACAAGCTTTGAAGATTGGATTTCAGAGAGAGAAACTTTATGCTTTTTTAATGGCTACTTGGGCAGAGACCAGAGAGAGAGAAACTGAGAAAGAGATAAAGAAATGCAGAAGCCAACTAATCTTTCTAGTGCGCTTTTGGGGTCCATCTTAAGTGCATTGGGAGCTGGATACGGCGTGTTTTGAGTGACGTGGCGTTCCAAGCAAGAATCCTGCTCCTAGTTGCATGGTGCCCTCGTCTCTGCAGACTCTGCCTGGAGCTGTTGGGACCTCCCTCCCTCAGACTCATCAGTCCAATCCCTTATCCCTCTCATGTTCCTGTGATTTTTTTTCTCTCTTCACAACCTACCACTCCATCTTTTTCCAACTAAAATCAGATGTAAATTCTAAATTCTCTTACTTTCAAGCTCATGCCAATCAAAGAGATTTGGGAGATAAACAGAGAATTGACGATAGCATTCCAACTACTTTTTCTTCTTCTCGCAATGCAATCAAGAGGGGCTCAAGAAATTTCCTGCAGCCCCAAGCTCTCTGCAATGCTTAGTGTTCTTAATCATAAGCTCCGACGCCTCTGCTCAAAACTACGGTGGCCAGTTCGGTGGCGTTCCAAGTCAAAAGTCGTAATCAGGAAGTTCGGAAATTCAGACTCGAAATTTCAGGCGCCTAAAGAAGAATCCAACACCAGTGGGTCAATGATCCGTGTAAATGGCCAGATGGGTAGTTGTAAATCTGAAAGGCCAATTCGAATTGCGACTTTCAATGCTGCCATGTTCTCCATGGCTCCTGCTGTCCTGAAGGCTGAGAAAACGATTGTCTTTGACTATGGAGAAGAAGATTACATGAAGGTTAAGCATGTTGTGGAGGTTGATATCAGAGCGAAGTCTGTTAATGATCGACCCAAGAGTATACTTAAACAATCTCCACTGAAGTCCAACTCCATGAGTAGTCCTGAGCATCTCTCCAGGCAACAGAAGTTTCCAAGGTCGAAATTAAGGGTCTCTATCAATCTCCCTGATAATGAGATCTCATTAAAGCGGAGTAGACGGTTTAGTTTGGATGAAGAAGGTGAGGGGTCTTCGAGCAAGAGCGCAATCAGGAGCCAGAGAGGCAAGGACGCGATGAACTATGAGAGCCTCCCTAGCAGTGTGACAGTTGGTAGAGATGGCGAGAGCTGGAGGAACAGTAGAACCATTCTGGAAGTCCTAAGAGAGGTGGATGCAGATATCCTAGCTTTGCAAGATGTCAAGGCAGAGGAAGAGAAGGGCATGAAACCTCTCTCTGATTTGGCTGATGCCTTGGGAATGAATTATGTTTTTGCAGAGAGCTGGGCTCCTGAGTATGGGAATGCTGTCCTGTCCAAGTGGCCAATTAAAAGGTGGCATGTTCAGAAAATATGTGACGATACAGATTTCAGGTGCACATCCTTTCTTATCCTTAGATGTAAAATTGGTTTGAAATTTATTATAGTCCTCCGGGTTGTCTCTTTAGTTGGTTCCCCTTTTAGATGATATCCTGGATGAAGGAAAGAACACTTTCCAAACACAATATGCCTTATATGACTGTCAATTCCTGGTGTGATCTCTGAACCATCTTGTTTGAACATGCTATTCAATTATGGTCCACTGTGTTGTAATTACATATCGTTTCCCTATCATGATCCATTGGAAAAGAAAAGAAGATCAAAAACTCCCATTAATCACCAACTTCTGTTTTTCATCAGATGAATCACTGAAGATCTGTGTAGATGTGTAACACATTTTATAATGTTATCAATGGGAAACTAAATCTAGGAATAGATTTTCTGCACATAATTCTGCTGTCTTTTTCCTGCAAATTCTGCTTGGCTATTCTTATTTTACTGTGGTATTAGCAAGCCAATCAAGAGAAGCACAAGATGATTATTTAAACCATGATCAATTAATTTTAAAACAATAAGATTTAACAAGATGCCTTATAAGGATTCATTATTGCGTATATGTAATTCTTATTATGCAGTAGATGATTACTTTTCTTGAGATCTACCTCTGACTGGGAAATAGCCATATGCATCCAAGTAGAAATGGAACTAACCCTACTCCATCAGTCTCCAAAGAATGTTATTTGCTTTTGGGGTTGGCCAAAGCAATTCAGTCTGGATGGTCTTTTCTGTGTTTAGGGGGCAAGTTAACAACGCCTCTCCGGTTCACTCGCTTCGCTCACTCACTGAAGCTTCGAGAACCCCCTATTTGCTAATGTTGTTCATTCATTCATTCATTTTAATAAAATATCTTTTTAAAAGGCAATTAAAGTTATAAAATCATTAAGTTTTTATGTGAGAATTAAGAATTTAAGATCCTAATATGGATTTGTTTCAGCTTGCCTCACGGGGCATGGTACAAAGGTGGCTCGTAGAATCAGGAATACAATATGTTTTACATCACATTAGCTGTTTGAAGTAATGCAATTGAAGAAAAAAAAGAGATTGTGGGTTTTACATACTTGAAAATGCTTTATATTTTTTATTTTATTTTTAAATTTTCATTTGAATACGCTTTACATGTTATGTTTATGTATTTTAATTTTAGATAATAGGTTTTTTAAAACATTTATTTTAAAATTTAAGTTTATATCTTTATTAATATATTTTTTATTTTCTGCATTTTTTTTTAATTTTTGGCACTTTTTTGAATTTTTTGACTTTTTTTTTATTTTTTAGATTTTTTTTGTATCTTCACACCTTGCTTCAAAAGGCGCATGCCTCGCCTTGTGCCTTAGTCGCAAATTGTCCTTTGCGCTTTATGTTTAATATTTTTTATTTTTTGCATTTTTTTGCATTTTTTGTTTTTTTTTTGAATTTTCTTACTTTTTATTTTTATTTTTCAGATTTTTTTTTTGTATTTTTGTGCCTTGCTTCAAAAAGGTGCATGCCTTGCCTTGTGCCTCAGTCGCAAATATCCCCCTGCGCTTTTTTTGTGCCTTGCGCTTTTAAAACACTTCTCCCAAATCTACATGCAGTAGTCTGTGATTCAAATAAAATCATTTAATGTTACTACACCATCTCACTTTAACATTATTATATTCATTTCACAAACTTAAAGAATAATCATGGGTACACCCTGATTGCTTGATCTAAAACACCTTATGCTTGACAAAATCTGCCCTTGATATTTTAAATGGAAATTACATAAATACTATTACGAACTGTCATAATTTTCTCAACCCTGTTCCAACTATTTCAGTTTGGATATTCTGCTTCTGTTCCACCATTCTGAAATTATAGGTATACATAAAAGAATTATAATGACCAAATGTGTATAATTCTATAAAGAATGGGGAGTTTGGTTCTCTTCTGTTTAGATTTATCATAAATTCCCTTTTTGGCAGTGCTTGCTGATTTCTGACTGCTAAACAGAACAGCCTATAATGCCTTTGTTGTGTTTCACATGGAATATAGGAATGTGCTGAAGGCCACAGTTGATGTACCCCAAGCAGGAGAAGTGAACTTCAACTGCACCCATCTTGACCATTTGGATGAGAACTGGAGAATGAAGCAGATAAATGCAATAGTCCAATCAAATGATGGGCCCCACATCTTAGCAGGAGGTCTCAATTCTCTTGATAAAACAGATTACTCGACAGAGAGATGGACAGATATTGTAAAGGTAAACACAATGAGGTTTTCTGATTTTTTATTCAAATTCTTAGAAGTTGGATTACTACTTTTAAGTTCCAATAACAACAAGAAATTGAATGTATTTCAGTACTATGAAGAGATAGGAAAGCCAACTCCCAAGGTTGATGTAATGACGTTCTTGAAGGGGAAGCAGTATGTAGATGCCAAGGACTTTTCAGGGGAATGTGAATCTTTGGTCATGATTGCCAAAGGCCAAGGTATAATCCACCCAAGATTAACTGATTCTAAATTCAGTTGTTTTAAACTATGTTATCCCGTAAATGTTTTAATGAGAATTTCATCATGCAGATGTGCAGGGGACTTGCAAGTATGGGACACGAGTAGATTACATATTGGCATCACCTGACTCTCCATACAAGTTTGTTCCTGGATCATACTCGGTCATTTCTTCAAAAGGGACCTCTGATCACCATATAGTTAAAGTTGATATCATAAAGGTAGAGTGCAATGCTCAAGAAAATGTTGTGATGCAACAGAGGCAACTGAAACACAAGGTATTAAAGACGAACCCTTCTTCATCAAGAGACAAATAGAAAACAAATACACAAGGCACAGATTCTTCTAATTTTGGTCAAGTTCCTTTTTGAGAATGTTTGAGGTGGGGAGTCTGGATGTATTTGAACCTGCTTCCTTCTTCCCTTGCATACCTTGTTTGTAAATAATCATATATTGCATATAAATTGGTTTTTAAAGAGACTAAAGAATGGGGAGATTCAGTTTGTATTTTTGGTTTTCTGCAGTTGTTTATGAGTATGCAGTATTCATAAAGTTTTCTTTCCCAGAGTCCCTACTCTTTTCTTGTAACAATATATCCCCATCAAGGAACATTATTCAAAATACCACAATCTGTTATTTGCCCACTCGTCTTCTCTTTTTATTTTCATCTTGCTTCTCTTGAATACTAGTTTGAAGTGATTGGTTACAAGTTAAAGGGATAGAAGTGCTAGGGGAGGACAGAAGAAAGATGTGGGTTGAGTAGTAAGAAATAATTCAAGGGCTCATAACTCAACAATGGATATGGCAGCAGAATGGTGAAACAGGATTCATGTAACTGGCCCCATATGGTTGGGACTAGGCTTATTTGAGTTGCTGTCTTCTATGATTGAATGGATATTTCTAGATTATAGAGTCCTGTAATTATAACATAATATAGCCTCTCTAAAATCTTAGCTTCATCCTAAGAATCAAATTGGTTTTTCTCTGGTACATTTTTGCTAGTAATGGCATTAGAAAACACACAAAGGCACCTCTGAAAGGGAGAAAAGCATACACTTCCATGCTATAATTAGTCTGACCAGAGAGGAAAAAAAATACTCTGGTGCCATCTTAAGTTACACCATATTTATTTGACTTAATTCTGTTTTATTTTTTGTTACTGTGTTTTGCATAATCAAGCTTTAAAGAGTACAACAGAATCATATGACAAGATATCTCCAACCAAAGGGGAGGTATTCTAATTGACAAAGCAACTGCTACACAGTGTTGTCCACACACAAACTGGTTATACTAGCCGAGGAGAAAAGGTACCCACCCTACAACACCAATTATGTCAAAGGTCTTGCAGAGGTGTAAAAGAAAGAAAGAAAGAAAACTCATCTGGAGATGGGGATTTTCCAGTTGTGAAGATCAGTACATTGCTCCACATTTTCTGGTTTGATCTGCTAAGACTGCATTTGTTTCCATGTAAATGGGCCAGAAAACAAAGTTTTCACTGCAAAATTTATAGAAATATAACTGAAACATATTCAATTGAAAGAACTTGAGCCTCTTCTAGGATGAAAAAGTAGGAGTCTCAGATGAATAAAAAGAGAGTATAACAGTAGGTGCAAAGATACACTTCCAACTGCCATGTAACGAAAAATTTGTTAATGAGTTCTCATACTGCATTTTGTATATTTCTTCATATTATCATTGAAAGTGGTATGCTCAGCAGCAAGTGACTTATGGGATGGAATTGATGAGATCCTACCTCAAAACTTTCCAATCACCCAATTTAGCACATTACAGTAAGTCATGAGTGAAACACCCACTGAGCCAGCAGAAGAATTATGAGAACTGTGTTATCGACGGGATACAAACAGAAAAACCTATGTAAGTAAAGCTGTGCAGAGTGTTATTCTACTGTGCCATTGGCAAGGTCTCATGCCATGCAAACAATGCAAATAAAGGTTTAGGGGGACTGAAATATTTTGCCATTTTGGTGCCTCATGCTGGAATGCTAAATATAACAGGTTTGGGTAATTCTTTCTGCTTCAACTTTAAGTGACCCATTTTTTTTTCTTTTTTTCTTTTCCTGATTATTTGACTGAACCAAAACTGAATCCCTTATGAAACACCAGGAAGTTTTTGACAATGCTGTGAAGCAGAGATCTTCTCAATTTCCAAATATTTCCACGTATATGTATTCTATTTTATCAGAATTGGAATAAATAGCCTAAAAATTCCAAAGTTGAAAATGTTAAAAGCAAAACCCTGTGAATATCTAAAACATTTATTTTGTCATGGTTGGAGATGAGCAGGGCTGAGTGGAGCTTGGTATATGGCTACATTTATGACTGTTGTGTTGCATGTGCCAACCACATTAGTGATCTTCAGAAATGGGAACACAACAGGGTGCCTAGTTGTTTACTTTTTGGTGGACCTGGTGGCTGTGTAACCAATAATTAGGGGTGTCAATGGACCACTTTTGGGTTGGACTCCGTCCAAATCAAAATCACTTTGGACGGATTGGACAGACCAATAAGACATATTGAATTGGACCTGGTCCATCCGTAATGAATTTATATCGGATTGAGCCAACATCTGGTCCATTGGTAGAAGATAAGAACACGGGTGTAAATGGACCAGGTTTGAGTTGGAAGTTGGAACCAATCTAAATTAACATGAACTTGAACAGATTGGATGGTCCAGACATTGAACTGGACTGGTCCAAAATGGTCCAAAATATTCATTGGACTGGATTGGATCAGTTCCATTTGTAATGAATTCACATTGGACTGGATAGGATTGGACCAAATCCAGTCCAATTGACACCCGTACCAATAACAAATGCCCTAACCAGCCCTAAAGTGTACATACCCCACGACCACTAAATCTCACTTGCATGTATGGCTGATGTGGGGTGTTATTATTGGTAGGGGTGTCAATGGTAATCGAAAATCCGATTTCAAATTCGATATTCGACATAATCAAATCGAATTCGGATAATTCGAATATCTAATCGGTCGAATTCGGATATCATATTCTTATCGAATAATTAATCGGATTCGAATTCGGATATGACCTTATTCGATTCGATAAATATCCGAATTTGACCGATTATTTAATTCTTATATATAATATATAAAATATTTTATATAATATATATAATAATTAAGTTATATAAATAATTTATATATTTATATACTTTATATCAATAAAATATTTATTTTATATATTTATTAATTGAATTCGAATTAAATCAAATATTCGGATATTTAATCGGATTCGAATTCGGATATTGCCTCATCTGATTCGAATTCGATCAGTTTACACCCCTAATTATTGGTTACACTTACAGAGCATAGGGGTGCAATTTGGGCGGATTTGGGTTGGGCTGAAATTTTGGGCCCATTTAGGGGGGGAGGGGGGGGGCTGAAGTTTTGATTGAACTACTTTCACTGAGCTGATTAATGGAAAAATCCTTTTTTTTTTTTGGCTGAACAACAGTGTGTTCAGCCTTTCACACAGCAGCTTCTGGGTATGACTTTCAGTCTCTCACACAACAGCTTCCGGCTTTGAAGGAGGGTACGTCCTAGGCCTACCCCTCAAACTGATTAAAACCCCAAAGCCCTTTTATTTCAACCCGCGCCCCGCCACAAACACAAAGAAAAGAGAGAAATTAAATAGAAAAACTATTCACAGCGTGAGAAAGTAACACAAATCTCTTGGAATACTTTCTTTTATTTTATTGGCCTATAGATGCAAACAAATTGGGGTAAATGGCTGAAACCTCCCTTGAAGTTCCTGACTGTTGCTGAAACCACCTCTGAAGTTTGGTAATTGCAATGCACCTCCCCTGAATGCAAGCCTTTTGTTAGAATTTGTTAACAAGAGGTACCAAAGTGCCCAAAATACCATGCAATTAATATTGAAGCTGGCTTCTATATAACAAAGCAATACAAATTTTAGAAACAATAAAAAAGAGAAAATTTAAAGATGCAACTTTACCTTTGAGCAATTGATATGAAGGCTCAGTTTGGAAAGAGTACAAATGCAAATATGTACAGTACAAATACATGTAAAATAATACAAAATATAAGATTTTGCACTTTACAAATTTGCATTTGTACTCCTTCCAAACTAGCCAAAGGAACAATTTGAAAAGTAAATCAATTTCAAGAAAGAGATTGGAAGGGTTTGGGCTAACAATTCATTTGAAGAGAAAATTTAGAAAATAAACATTTCGGTCAAAAGTACCTATATGGGTATTTTAGACATTTTCATGCCTATTTTTAGAAGGTTCTATAAAGGGGGTCTACTTGCAACAATGTCAAAAAGTATAGGAGAGGTGATTGCAATTATCAAATTTTGGGAGGTTTCATCAACAATCAGAAACTTAGGGGAGATTTCAGCAATTTACCCAACAAATTAACTGTTGATGTCAAGTCTCACAACAAGGTCTAGGGGTGGCAAATGGGTGGGTTGGGTTGGGTTGGATAAGGGTTGATTACCAACTAGAAGTGTAAATCGGGCCATGCCGCCCACGGCCCAGCCCGACACAGGACGACGAAACGCGAGCTGTGCCAAGCCCGACACGATGGTTCGGGCCATGTTGGGCCTGGGGATCCAAGTCTACGGGCTGGCACGACATGGCACAATACCTACAGCCCACGTGCTAGCATGGCCAGCCCGCGACACGAACCGCATCATAGGCCGACACAGCACGACTCGCCCCGATGAACTAGTTGTTGGGGGTTTTTTTTACAACAGCTAGTTTCAGCTTTTTGGGGGGGGGTTACAAAAATACCCCCCAACAACTATGAACTATATAGGGGTATTTATGTATTTTGGTTTTGGGGGGAAAGAATGACACAAATGCCCCCCAATAGGTAGTTTGGGGGGGCATTTTGGGTAAAGTGATAAATAACTTTACAATGACCAAAATACCCCTCCCAACAACAAAAAAATGGCTAGCTTTTAGGGTATTTTGGGAAATTGAATTATTTTCAATTCCTATAAATAGCCCTATCTTCCACCATTCTCACCACACCAATTCAACAATTCTCTTAATCTCTTCTCTAGTTCTCATACTCTCTTAAGTCTCAATCTATCAATCTCTCATACATTTTCTAAATCTCTAATTCTCAACTTTATTGAAGTTTCAACAAGAAGAATGTTTGCCCAATAACTAAAGTATTTCAAATTATCAATTTGGGAGGCTTGGACTCTTGGAGTTGAAAGGCTTCAACCGTTGAAAATCTAGGTAAGTGCAATTAAATTATTTTTTATTTTTTTAGAAATAAAAAAAATGGTCAGTTCCTCCTAAAACCAATTCCCCAACATGTTCAATGTCAACGATATTCAGTTGCAGCATAGTAGTATTAGTACATATATGGATGCTATTGATATTGATGGAACTTCCGCTCCTAGTACTGATACTAGGGGAAAGAAAAAGAAGGCCACTAAGTTGATTAGCTCGGTTTGAAAAATATTTAAAGTAGAAAAGGTTCAAAGGAAAGGAAAAAGAACTTTTGCCAAAAGCGTAGAAAAGACTTTAGCTATTGTTATCTAAAGATACTAAATTTGAAAAATGGTTACGTAGTTTTGTAAATCCACACTTCAAAAAAGTTTCTAGGAATACTATTAGATCATATGCTTT